TGGGTAACAAGAGCTAAACTCCGTCTCAAAAAAAAAAAAAAAAATATTAGGCATGGTGGCGCATGACTGTAATCCCAGCTACTCTGGAGGCCGAGGCAGGAGAATCACTTGAACCCAGGAGGCAGAGGTTGCAGTGAGCTGAGATGGCACCACTGTACTCCAGCCTGGGCAATAGAGCAAGACTGTCTCAAACAAAAAGGAAAAAAGCCTGGAGTCTGCAGCACACAAACCAGACCGGAAGCCCTGCCCGCTCAGAGCTCCAGTTCTGTAGGGAAGAAGAGGCACAGCGACCTAAAATACGGCATGGAGCGACAGACGCTGGGAAGCAGGGGGGTGGGTAGCTGTGTGGCAGTATTCTGATGACTGAGTGGCCGGGAAAGGTCTTGGTGGTAAATGGAGTGAAGGAGGGAGCCATGGAGAGCTCTGGAGGGAGAGCATTCCAGGGAGAGAGAAGAGTAAGTAAAATGCCCCTGAGGCAGGAGTGGTCCTGATGTGGCAGCATCAGCAAGGAGGCTCGGGTGGCTGGAAGGGAATGAGCCTGGGGAAGCGGGTTGGGACTGACAGAAGACAGGGCAGCGGTTCAGACTGTGCAGGCCCCTGCAGGCAGGTCATGGTGGTCCCTATTTGGTGGGACAAGACAGAGATGGACAGAGACCTGGAGAGCAGGGGATGGGGACTCAGAGAGAGAGGGACAGAGACCTAGAGAGAGGGGGGCAGAGACCGGGGGGTGGGCACAGAGACCCAGAGAGAGGGAGACAGATCAGAAAGAAAGGAGGATAGAGTATTTGAGTTCACGCCTGTGATCCCAGCACTGTGGGAGGCCGGTGGCTGCTTAAGTCCAGGGCCGGCCTGGGCTGATCTTTTACAGAAACCACATCTCTATTAAAAAAATAATTCGGCCAGGCGCGGTGGCTCAAGCCTGTAATCCCAGCACTTTGGGAGGCCGAGGCGGGTGGATCACGAAGTCAAGAGATCGAGACCATCCTGGTCAACATGGTGAAACCCCGTCTCTACTAAAAATACAAAACATTAGCTGGGCATGGTGGCACGTGCCTGTAATCCCAGCTACTCAGGAGGTTGAGGCAGGAGAATTGCCTGAACCCGGGAGTTGGAGGTTGCGGTGAGTGGAGATCGTGCCATTGCACTCCAGCCTGGGTAACAAGAGTGAAACTCCGTCTCAAAAAAAACAAAAAAAAACAACAAAAAAAAATAATTCATAGCTTTGCACAGTGGCAGTATCATAGCCAATAAGGTTTATCCGAGGTGCGATTATTGCTAATTGAAAACTTTTCCCAATACCCCACCATGATGACTTGAAATATAATCGGCATTGGCAATTTTTGACAGTCTCTACGGACACTGAATTAAAAAAATAATAATAATTCATGAATTAATTTTAAAAAAGGAAATTCAAGAACAGGCAAAACTAACCTGGGGATTAGAACTCATATTTAGTAGATTTTTTTTCTCTTCTTGGGAAAAGATATAGACATAACCCAGGGTTAGACTGTAAACCTACAGACAGTTTGGAGAGAAATGGCATCTTCCTAACAGTAAGTTTACCAATCTATGAACATGGTATATCTCCACATTGCTTTAGTTTTTTTTTTTTTTTTTTTTGAGACGGAGTTTCGCTCTTGTTACCCAGGCTGGAGTGCAATGGCGCGATCTCGGCTCACTGCAACCTCCACCTCCTGGGTTCAGGCAATTCTCCTGCCTCAGCCTCCCGAGTAGCTGGGACTACAGGCACCTACCACCATGCCTGGCTAATTTTTGTATTTTTAGTAGAGACGAGGTTTCACCTTGTTGACCAGGATGGTCTCCATCTCTTGACCTCGTGATCCACCCGCCTCGGCCTCCCAAAGTGCTGGGATTACAGGCGTGAGCCACCGCGCCCGGCCTGCTTTAAGTCTTTTAATGATCTCATCAATGTTTTGTAGTTTTCAGTGTAAAGGTCTTATTTGTTGTTGTTAAATTAATCCCTAACTATCTTGGGGTTTTTTTCTGCTATAGCAAATGAAAATGCTTTTTAACTTCATATTTCAAGTTTTTGCTTCTATTATATAAAATAGGACTATTCTGATATTAATATGTTGTGAACTTGCCAAATGTACTTACTAGTTTTGGAATTTCCATGTTGTTCTTATTGATTTTTATTTACTTATTTATTTTGAGACGAAGTCTCTGTCACCCAGGCTGGAGTGTAGTGGCACAATCTTGGCTCACTGCAACCTCCGCCTCCCAGGTTCAGGCAATTCTCCTGCCTCAGCCTCCTGAGTAGCTGGGATTACAGGCACGCGCCACCATGCCCAGCTGAATTTTTGTATTTTTAGTAGAGACGGGGTTTCACCATGTTGACCAGGATGGTCTCGATCTCTTGACCTCATGATCCACCCGCCTCGGCCTCCCAAAGTGCTGGGATTACAGGCGTGAGCCACCGCGCCCAGCTTTATTCTTTTTATTATTGTATTTATTGACATTTCCTGTCTTTTATGCATTATAAACATTTAGATTCTTGAGTATAGTTATAGTAGCTATTATAATAGTTTCGTGTGTGTGTGTGTGTGTGTGTGTGTGTGTGTGTGTGTGGTCTCATGCAGTAGTGAGATCACAGCTCATTGTAGTCTTGATCTCCCTGGCTCTAGTGATCCTCCCACCTCAGCCTCCCGAGTAGCTGGGACTTAGTTGCATACCACCAAGCTGGGCTAAATGTTTTTTGAAGAAGAGTCTTGCTCTGTCATCTAGGCTGGAGTACAGTGGGATAATCTTGGATCAATGCAACTTCTACCTTCTGGGTTAAGGCAATTTTTGTGCCTCAGCCTCCCAAGTAGCTGGGACTGCAGGAGCCCACCACCGCACCCAGCTAATTTTTTGTATTTTTTGGTAGAGACAGGGTTTTGCCATGTTGGCAAGCAATCTTGAACTCCTGGCGTCAAGGGATCCGCCTGCCTCAGCCTCCCAAAGTGCTGAGATTACAGGTGTGAGCCACTGTGTCCAGCCATGCTGGGCTAATTTATTTATTTTTTTAATAGAGACCTTCAAAGCTACTGCAAATTAACATGCTGGGCTAATTTTAAATTTTTTGTGGGATGACATTTCACTATGTTGCCCAGGATGGTTTTGGAATTCCTGGACTCAAGCAATCTTACAGCCTTAGCCTCCCCAAGTACTGGAATTACAGGTGAGGGCCTCTGTACTCAGCTGATGAATGGCTATTTTAAAAAAAAATTTTTTTTGAGATGTAGTCTTGCTCTGTCACCAGTGTGGAGTCCAATATTTTTCTTTTCTTATTTATTTATTTTATTTTTTTTTTTTAAGACGGGGTTTCACCATGTTGGTCAGGCTGGTCTTGAACTCCCGACCTCAGGTGATTCGCCCGCCTTGGCCTCCAAAGTGCTTGGATTACAGGCATGAGCCACCGTGCCCGGCCTCTTTTCTTTTTTTTTGAGACAGAGTCTCGCTGTGTCACCTAGGCTGGAGTGCAGTGGTGTGCAGTCTCAGCTCACTGCAACCTCTGCTTCCCGGGTTCAAGCGATTCTCCTGCCTCAGCCTCCCAAGTAGCTGGGACTACAGGCGCATGCCACCATGTCCAGTTAGTTTTTGCATTTTTAGTAGAGATGGAGTTTCACCATGTTGGCCAGTATGGTCTCAATCTCTTGACCTCTTGATCCATCTACCTCAGCCTCCCAAAGTGCTGGGATTACAGGCATGAGTCACTGTGGCCCGCCTTGCTATTTTTATTTATTTTATTTTTTTTGGAGACAAGGTTTCATCATGTTGGTCAGGGTGGTCTTGAACTCCTGACCTTAGGTGATCTGCCCTTCTCGGCCTCCCAAAGTACTAGGATTACAGGCATGAGCCACCACACCCGGCCTATTTTTATTCTTAAATTTAAATTAAAAAAAATTTTTTTTGAGACAGGGTTTCACTCTGTCACCCAGGCTGCAGTGCAGTGGAAAAATCATGGCTCACTGCAGCCTTGACCTCCTGGGCTCAGGTGACCCTCTCACCTCAGCCTCCTGAGTTGCTGTGACACAGGCATGGGCCATTGGACACAGCTAATTTTTTTTTTCCAGAGACAAGGTTTTGCCATGTTGCCAAGCTAATCTTGGACTCCTGGCAGCCTCCCAAAGTGCTGGCATTACAGGCTTGAGCCATTGTGCCCGACCAGTAGCTATTTTTAAAACCTTCTGCTTCTAATATGGGTCATTTCAGGTCTCCGTTGATTATATTTTCACTTGAGATGGGTCTTATTTTCTGTTTTTTCCCCCCTATGTTGAGTAATTTAGATTGTGCATTAGACACAATATAGGAACTCTGGAATCTGTTATGTTCCTCTGGAGAATATTGAGTTTTATTCTTCCGAAGCAGTCCTTCAACTTGGCTGCACTCTAACTGAACTGTCTCTCCTGTGAGACTTCTTCAGTTCACTTCTCTTTTTTGAGGGGAGAGGGGGGTTCAGCTGGGCTTTTTGGCTGTACCCATGCAGTCAGATGTGGTTCAGAGTCAGCTAGATAGTTGAGTAGAGTTTATATAAACTTCAGGGTAGCCGCTCTCCATCTTCTCTTTTCCAGGGTTTATCACCTTCCTTTTGCTGTAATTCCTTAAGCTAGGAAGACTGGATTTTCCTCTGGTGTGTTTTTTTTTTTTTTTTTTGAGACGGAGTTTCACTCATGTTACCCAGGCTGGAGTGCAATGGCGCGATCTCGGCTCACCACAACCTCCGCCTCCTGGGTTCAGGCAATTCTCCTGCCTCAGCCTCATGAGTCGCTGGGATTACAGGCACACACCACCATGCCCAGCTAATTTTTTGTAGTTTTAGTAGAGACGGGGTTTCACCATGTTGACCAGGATGGTCTCGATCTCTTGACCTCGTGATCCACCCGCCTCGGCCTCCCACAGTGCTGGGATTACAGGCTTGAGCCACCGCGCCCGGCTGTTTTTTTATAGACAGGGTTTCTGCGTGTTGGTCAGGCTGGTCTTGAACTCCTGACCACAGGTGATCCGCGCACCTCGGCCTCCCAAAGTGCTGGGATTACAGGCATGAGCCACCGCGCCCAGCTGTTTTCTACTTTTTCCATAATTTATAACTGTTATCTGTGTGAAAGGGCTGGAATTTGAATCCAAGTGCGTCTGACTCCAAGCTTTTTAGTATGATAACATTCTGCCCCCTAGTGGCTGGACGTGGAAAACTGGTTTGTGTGGGAGGAAGGGCATACTGGTAAATCTCTGCAGGCTGCACGTTTGAAAACATTGTTTATCGAAAACAATACCCACACATAGCAACAAACAATACCCACACATAGCCACAAATTACTTGCACAGAACAGCTTTATGGTGAAAAACTGCCCAGAACCTTGTCACACTTAGTGCCTATCTCCAGAATTTTTTTGCTTTTAAAATACTCTTGCACATTTTATTTAAAAATATTGGCCACACACGCACAGGATAGAAAACCCTAAATATACAGTATGCTATAAACTAAAAACGCCTTCCACCAGCTTCGCCTCTTCACAGACAGCCAGTGTTTCCTGCCAGGGAGAATCTACACAGATTTAAGCAAATATGAAATATGTACAAATTACTTTTCTTTCTTCTTTTTTTTTTTAGGCAGAGTCTCACTCTGTTGCCCAGGCTGGAGTGCAGTGGTGCGATCTCAGCTCACTGCAACCTCTGCTTCCTGAGTTCAAGCAATTCTCCTGCCGCAGCCTCCTGAGTAGCTGGGATTACAGGCACACGCCACCATGCCTAGCTAACTTTTGTATTTGTACTAGAGACGGGGTTTTGCCATGTTGGCCAGGCTGGTCTGGAACTCCTGATCTCAGGTGATCCGCCCACCTTGGCCTCCCAGAGTGCTGGGATTACAGGCGTGAACCACTGCACTCACCTGTTTTTCTTCTTCTTAATGGGAATAAGAGCAGGTGACAACGCTTTTATCTTTCTTGTTTCTCTTAACAGTACTATTTTTAAAGTCAGACTCCTCAGACTTTTACATTTTAAACATATTTATTTATTTACTTATTTTTTTGAGACAGAGTTTCACTCTTTTTACCCAGGCTGGAGTGCAATGACGCGATCTCGGCTGACCGCAACCTCCGCCTCCTGGGTTCAGGCAATTCTCCTGCCTCAGCCTCCTGAGTAGCTGGGATTACAGGCACACGCCACCATGCCCAGCTAATTTTTTGTATTTTTAGTAGAGACGGGGTTTCACCATGTTGACCAGGATGGTCTCGACCTCTTGACCTCGTGATCCACCCGCCTCGGCCTCCCAAAGTGCTGGGATTACAGGCTTGAGCCACCGCGCCCGGCCAGACTTTTACATTTTAAACATATTTATTTATTTATTTTTAAGACAGGGTCTCACTCTCACCTAGGCTGGAGGGCAGTGGCACAGTCTTGGCTCACTGTAGCTGCTGCCTCCTGGGTTCAAGCAGTTCTCCCACCCTGGCTTCCTGAGAAGCTGGGATTGCAGGCTTGTGCCACCATGCCTGACTTTAGTAGCTTTTTCATTGAGGTGATTAAGAATACATTTTGGCCGGGCGCGGTGGCTCACGCCTGTAATCCCAGCACTTTGGGAGGCTGAGGCAGGTGGATCACGAGGTCAAGAGATCGAGACCATCCTGGTCAACATGGTGAAACCCCATCTCTACTAAAAATACAAAACATTAGCTGGGCATGGTGGCGTGTGCCTGTAATCCCAGCTACTCAGGAGGTTGAGGCAGGAGAATTGCCTGAACCCAGGAGGCGGAGGTTGCGGTGAGCCGAGATTGCGCCATTGCACTCCAGCCTGGGTAACAAGAGTGAAACTCCGTCTCAAAAAAAAAAAAAAAAGAATACATTTTGAGGACTGAGGGCGCTGGTTCATGCCTGTAATTCTAGCACTTTGGGAGGCCAAAGCAGGAGGATTGCTTGAGGCCAGGAGTTCAAGACCAACCTGGCTAACGTAGTGAGACTCCCCACCTATCTCTTAAAAAAAAAAAGTGTTGGGGGGGGGTGCAGGGCGCAGTGGCTCATGCCTGTAATCCCAGCACTTTGGGAAGCTGAGGCGGGTCAATCACTTGTGGGCAGGAGTTGGAGACCAGCCTGGCCAAATGGTGACACCCCGTCTCTACTAAAAATACAAAAATTAGCCAGGCATGATGGTACATGCCTGTAGTTCCAGATACTTGGGAGGCTGAGGCATGAGCATCACTTGAACCTGGGAGGTAGAGGCTGCAATGAGCCAAGATCTTGCCATTGCATTCCCATTGCAGCCTGGGCAATAGAGCGAGACTCTGTCTCAAAAAAAAAAAAAAAAAAAAAAAGGAAAGCCTATCGGCCTCTAGGAGGACCCAGATATTACCCCGAACCAAAGATAACCAGTATTCTGATTGCTAACGGCCTAGTTTTACCTGTTAATTTACAGAAATGGAGTCATGCTGTGGCACTCAGATGCATTTGAGAGACCATTCCTTCTTTTCCCCTGCTGTATGGTACGCCACAGTCAGCCAAACGCTGTTCACCATCCTACCGCTGATACACTTTGGGGCTTTTTCCAGCTTGGGGCCGTTACATATGAAGCTTCTGTGAACATCCTGGCTCATGGTTGGTTGGTTTGTTTTTTTTTGAGACGGAGTCTTGCTCTGTCGCCCAGGCTGGAGGGCAGTGGCACAATCTCGGCTCACTGCGACCTCTGCCTCCGAAGTTCAAGCGATTCTCCTGTCTCAGGCTCCCATGCAGCTGTGACTGCAGGTGCCCACCACCACGCTCAGCTAATTTTTCGTATTTTTAGTAGAGATGGGGTTTCACCATGTTGGCCAGGCTAGTCTTGAACTCCTCAAGTGATCCACCCATCAGGCCTCCCAAAATGCTGGGATTACAGGCGTAAGCAACCGTGCCCGGTCTGCGTTTTTTAAGATACAGCCTCACTCTGCCACTCGGGCCAGGGTGCTGTGGCACTCTCTCAGCTCACTGCAAGCGATTCTCATACTTCAGCCTCCCTAGTAACTGAGATTATAGGTGTGTGTCACCATGCCCAGCTAAATTTTTTTTTTGTTTTTTTGAGACAGAGTCTCCCCCTGTCACCAGGCTGGAGTGCAGTGGCACGATCTTGGTTCATTGCAACCTCCATCCCCCGGGTTCAAGCAATTCTCCTGCCTCAGCCTCCCAAGTAGCTGTGATTACAGGCCCCTGCCACCATCCCCAGCTAATTTTTTTGTATTTTTAGTAGAGACAGGGTTCCACTGTGTTAGCCAGGATGGTCTCGATGTCCTGGCCTTGTGATCTGCCTGCCTCGGCCTCCCAAAGTGCTGGGATTACAGGTGTGAGCCACCGCGCCCGGCCTAATTGTTGTATTTTTAGTAGAGATGGGGTTTCACCATGTTGTCCAGGCTGATTTTAAACTCCTGGGATCAAGTGATCCTCGTACCCTTTTATGAAAATGTGGGCATGTGCCACTGCTCCCGGCCATCCTAGCTGGTGTTTTGCTGAGCATGTTTGCATGTCCTTGGGGTACATACACAGGAGTGAAGCAGTGGAGCACATTTGTTAGCGTTAATAGATATTGCCAGTTCATTTCCCCAGGTGACCTGCCCACCAGCTTGGTAGACAAGTCCCCGTTTCTCAACATCCTGACCAACGCTTGTCAGAAGAACCTTTTGAACTGGCTTTGCTTTTAGTTCTTCCGTTGGTGACCTCCCCACTTCCAGATCAGCAGATCAAACCCCTATGCTGTTGATGGGAGCCAGGCAGCCAGGTGGAGCTTCTAACTGATGTCAGAGCTTCTGATATTTTAAAAGCTGAGCTACAATTCACAGGCCATAAAATTAACCCTTGGCCAGGCGTGGTGGCGCATGTCTATAATCCCAGCTACTTGGGAGGCTGAGGCAGGAGAATCTCTTGAATCTGGGAGGCGGAGGTGGCAGTGAGCTGAGATTGCGCCACTGCCCTCCAGCCTGGCTACAGAGTGAGACTCCATCTCAACAAAACAAAATAAAGCCAGGTGTGGTGGTGAGTGCCTGTAATCCCAGCCACTTGGGAGGCTGAGTCAGAAGAATAGCTTGAACCCGGGAGGTAGAGGTTGCAGTGAGCTGGGAGATTGTGCCCCTGCACTCCAGCCTGGGCAACAGAGTGAGACTCCATCTCAAAAAAAGAAACTGAAGGGCCGGGCATGGTGGCTCACGCCTGTAATCCCAGCATTTTGGGAGGCCAAGGCGGCAGGCAGATCACCTGAGGTCAGGAGTTCAAGACCAGCCTGACCAACATGGCAAAACCTCATCTTTATTAAAAATACAAAAATTAGCCAGGCATGGTGGTACATGCCTATAGTCCCAGCTACTCGGCAAGAGGCTGAGGCAGAATTGCTCGAACCCAGGAGGCGGAGGTTGCAGTGAGCGGACATTGTGCCATTGCACTCCAGCCTGGGCAACAAAAGTGAAACTTTGTCTCAAAAAAAGGAAAAAAAAAAAAAAAAAAAAAGGAAATCTACTTTTTAACATGAAATCTCCTTCTCCCAGCTCCTTTTTTACATTTAAAAACTTCACACAGTAAAATCCACTCCTTTTAGTGAATAGTTCTACCAGTTCTGACAAACCAGGGTCACGTAACCACCCCAATCAAACTCTGAATTGTTCCTTCTGCTCCCCCGAGTCTTTCTCGCTACTCCCCACTTCGGGGTCAGTTCCTTCCCCTACCCTGGCAACCAAGGCTTTGTTTCTGGATCCTACAGTTTCACCTGTGGGCTGGCAGAATAAATCTTGCTGTTTTTATTTTTTTATCTTTTTGAGACGAGGTCTTGCTCTCTTCTACAGGCAGGAGTGCAGTGGGTGCTATCTCGGCTTACTGCAGCCTCCTCCTCCCGGATTCAACCAGCTCTCCCGCCTCAGCCTCCCTCGTAGCTGGGATTACAGAGGTGCATCCCCACACCTGGCTGATTTTTGTGTTTTTAGTAGAGAATGCGCCCGGGCCCCTGCTCATTTTTTTACATCCTTACGAGTAACTGCGACAGCTTTCTGAAGCGCTGTGTTTGAACCTCTCAAAGCTGGAGCCTTGGTGAGCACGCCTGCCATCAGCACCACCACGCCCCGGTCTTGCTCTGAACTTTAGACCAGTATCTAAGGAAACTGCTCATCAAAGACAAGGTTTGTCTGTCTTCCTGTCTCTTTCTTCTGCTATGACTGAAGCTGTGTTTCCACTCTTGCGTCCTCTCCAAGTACCTTAGAAGCTTCAATGACAGAACATGGTGCAGTGACTCAGCCTGTAATCCCAGCACTTTGGGAGGCCAAGGCAGGTGGATCACTTGAGGTCAGGAGTTCAAGATCAGCCTAGCCAACATGGCGAAACCCTGTCTCTACTAAAGATACAAAAAAAAGAGCCGGGCATGGTGGCGCTGCTGTAGTCCCAGCTACTCAAGAGGCTGAGGCAGGAGCTGAGCTCACGCCACTGTGCTCCAGCCTGGCAAAAGATTGAGATTCCAACCCAAAAAAAAAAGATTGGAGCAGGACCTTGACCTCCCACCCCATCCCCCCAAAAATGGGTCTGTGAACAGAGTGGGAATTAGGTTCCTTTGGGAAAACACAGGTGCAAGATTAGAAACCCTTCAAGTTGTTATTTGGGGCGAAGGTGATCTGTGCAACACGTGAACAAGATTGGGGTTCATAGAGGGCTGAGAACACTGGAAGGACTCGGATGGTTGAGGGGTTTGGGAAAGAGGACGAGGATTTGGGATGTTGAAGGAAAGGGCATGACATGGAACTCTGGGTATGGACGGGTGGGGTGGGAGCTTGCAGAGGTGGACAGGTCAGTGGGCCTCTGGGGGAGGGAGTGTCTGAAGGATGGGGGAAGTCCAGGACTGAGTCTGGGGGGGTTCTCAGAGGCAGCTGGCTCCTGGGTGAACCTGGCTTCTGTCACTCCCTCGAGCATGTGTGATACTGCTCAAGTTGTGCCGTCAGCCCCCATGGCCTATTCTGTGAAATGGGTATGGGCATCCCTCCCACAGGGCTGTGGCGGGGACTCAAGGGGCCTGAAGATTGACAGCCCAGGTGGCAAGGGCTCTTGAAACGTCTGGCACCTTGGGCAGCTGCCAAAGGCGTGGGGCTCAGGGATGGGGCATAAGCATTCTTAGGGACCAAGAGAATGTCCTCGAAGGACCTGGGGGAGCAAACACCAGCTTTTGGGGCTCCCCAGTGTGCAAGGATGACACAAACCGCCATCCTGGCAAATCTTTTCCTGCAGCCGGATGTATGAGCTGTGGCTCGGCCAGACAACAGTTAAGGGACACTTCCCGGCCCTTGGCCACATCCCAGTCCTTTGAATCCCACCTGGGTATTAGCTAAGAAGACTGTCAGACCTGGCGCGGTGGCTCACACCTGTAACGCCAGCACTTTGGGAGGCTGAGGCACGTGGATCACTTGAGGTCAGGAGTTGAGCCCAGCCTGGCCAACATGGCACAAACCTGTCTCTACTAAAAATACAAAAATTAGCCAGGCGTGGTGGCCCCAGCTACTCGGGATGCTGGGGCAGGAGAACTGCTTGAGCCTGGGAGTTGGAGGTTGCAGTTAGTCAAGATCACACCACTGCACTCCAGCCTGGGCAAGAGCAAGACTCTGTCTCAAAACAGAAAACAGTCATAGCTATTTGGGGGTCTGCAGTGAGCTGTGATTGCACCACTGCACTGCGGCCTCCGGGGTGGGAAAGGATTGCTCTCTGAACAGGACGCTGTGTGTATTGCTATCTCACTTTGGTTGAAACCTCATGTGTGCTCACATAAAGACCAGGAAGGACAGAACCTAGGTAGCCCTGCTCAGTGAGGCAGGCACACGCTCTTTATTCTTTTCATCTTTGCTTGTCTCTGTGCCGTTTTTCACACTGCTCAGCGGCTGCTTTTGTGACTTGATGGTCATTAAAAACAAAGCCGTAAGGGCAGCCCTTACATTCCCAGTGAAGTCTGAGGCCACCAGCTGGCGCCGGTTCCTGGTCTCCACTCTGCCCTGTCTCCCCCGCTCTCCCCTGCGCGTCCTCTGCTCCTTAAATCTGCAAAGTGCGTTGCTCCCTCTGGGCCTTTGCACTTGCGGTTTCCTCTTCCCTTCACCTTCAAGCAGCCACAGGTGCAGGGCGGCGCTCCTGACCGCCTTTCCCAGTCAGGGTGCTGTGCGCTTTCTCACAAAACTTCATTTCCTTTGTGGGTCGAATCACATGGCAGCCCGGAAGACCCGCTCCTGGGTATTTCCTGTACTTCAAACTTGGCCTGACTCCGGGAGCCCTAACAAAGGACTCTAGGGATTGATTGATTGATTGATTGAGACAGAGTCTCGCTCGTTAACCAGGCTGGAGTGCAGATTCAAGAGATTCTCCTGCCTCAGCCTCCCGAGTAGCTGGGATTACAGACATGCGCCACCACACCCAGCTAATTTTTGTATTTTTAGTAGAGACGGTTTCACCATGTTAGCCAGGCTAGTCTCGAACTCCTGACCTCAAGTGATCTACGAGCCTCGGCCTCTCAAAGTGCTGGGATTATAGGCGTGAACCACCGAGCCCGGCTAGATTTTGTTCTTGACGTGAGACCACGTTCAATATGCTTAGCCGGCTCTTTCAAACTCCAGCGTGTGCTGTCGGAGCGCTGCCTGCGCGGCCCGGCTTCCTCGCCTGCCCTGTCCCCGGGGCGCCCATGCCGCGAATGAAGGCGCCACGTTTCTGCGCACCCAAGCTGGTTTATTTGGTCTCCCGTGCGCACTCAGGCCTGCATCACCGGCCGCGATTTCTCTGCTTGCAGCTTCACTCCCGAGCCCGCGAATCCTGTACCGCCCTGGGGGAGGTAGAAAGAAGTGGGAGGTGGAGGCCGGCCCGGGGGTGACTGGCGGGGCTCCAGGAGGTGGTGGGGATCCCTAAGCGGGTTAAGGTGAAGCGGGTTGCAGGCTAAGGAGTAGGAGTTGGGGCGGGGGCGAGGCGACCGCAGGTGGAGCCTAGGAGGGCTGGAGGCAGGGTAGGGGCGGGGCCTTCGAAAAAGTCTGGAGGAGGCGGGGCCTAGGAGAGCACGAGGAAGGGGGCGGGGCCTTGGAGAGCTCGGGGAAGGGGAGGGGTGGGGCTCTCACCCGCTGCAGCACGATGATGTCGCGGTCGGTGAGTTTGTCTCCACTCACAGGGTCCACCATGTCCTTCCGAATTAGCTTCTCCACGCATTCAAGGGTGACCACAGCCCCACTGCGGTGAGGGCGAGGGCGGGACACTCCGATCAGAGGAGACCTACTGGCCCCAAGGCCGGCCCGCCCCACAGGTTCCTGGGTGGTCCCTTCCCTTCCCTCCCCTCCCAGGTGACTCACGAGGGCCGCAGCACAGCGCAGGGGGTGGCGTTGCTCAGGCTGTCGCGGGTCACGGCGCACACGTAGCGCTCGCTGCGTGTGATGAGCCCCACGCGGTCCACCGAACTGTCGAGCGGCGTGAAGTGCACAGGCGTCAGGTCCGACATGCGCAGGGGCTTCCCCGACATGGGGCAGGTCACCGTGCGGGACTGCAAGGGGCAGAGAGAGGAGGGCTCAGCAGGCAGGGCTGGCGCAGGTGGAGGGTGCACGGTCCCCGTGCGGGAGGGGAGGACGCTGGGGGACCCCTGGCGCTCTGGCACCGTGGGTGCTCACCGGCTTCTCCAGCTTGGTGGCCTTGGCTTCGGGTGTCAGCGACGGGATCCAGAAGCTGGGCAGCACTCTGTCCTTGTCCTTACTTGGGGGACCCACGCTGGTCCCGGGTTGGGCATCATCTGTGGGGGAAGGAAGGGACTCAGATGCCGCCCCACCCCCACATGCCCAGCCCGCGGCTCGCCCCCCACCCCCCACCGCAAGCCCACTCCGAGTCACCTGGGCTGGTGGCCGTGAGGGCCTTGGCTGTGAAAGGATTGAGGGGCCGGCTCACGATGGCCGATTCCTTCTCCAGGAAGCCCCGCACGTGATCCTGAGAGGCCGCCCGCTGAAGCTCCTTCTGCTCCTCCCGCCTGGCGCCACGCTGCTTCTCATAGGCCTGCCGGGAGGGGAAAGTGGGCTGAGCATCTGCCCGTGGGGCTGCGTTTGGACCACCCTAAGGGGTTGCAGGTATCTTCTTCCCATTTCACAGGTAGGTAAACTGAGGCCCACACAGGGGACCATCTGATGGAGGCGGTCAGAGGTGATGACTGCCTGGGCGGGTGTGAACCTTACTGTGCTGTACATCCAGAGTGCCAGGGCTCAAAGCCCATCTGTCACTTCTGTGGCCTGAGTGAGCACTATGACCTCTCCAGGCCTCAGTTTCTTCATCTGTAAAACGGGCTAACAATGGCGACCTACGTCGGCTGCTCACTGAAGGGTTACACAAGATGAGTGTTCAAAGCACACAGCCTCACCTGGCACTCAGCTGAGTGTTCAATGAATGCCACCTGCTGGCCAATTAGGTTTATTATACAGTGCATGCTCCAGACCCAAGGAAATGTGGAGGAGCCCACATCTATGGCTGGGCAGTGAGTACGGACGTGAGGAGTGACGTCCCGTGCTCAGCCTTGCCTGGCACACAGCAGGTGCCCAGTCGGTGCTGCAGTGCGAGATCACCCTGAGCCACACAGCTGAGTGAGGAGGGCCTCCGACACGGCCACCAGGTTGTGGGGGGGACACAGGCGCAGGGGGAGCCACTTGCTCAGGACAAAGAGCCCAACAAGGACGTGACCTGTAGTGTCTCCTGAGCATCAGCAATCCAGGCAGGGGAAGAGGGGGACAGACCCACTGTGCCTCAAACATGGGGGTAAACAGGGCCCCTCCTACCCATCAAATGGCTTTGCACATGGAAGGCCAGGCCAGACTCCCAGTAAACACCTTGAGAATGTTCACCTGCGTGCACCTCCCAGGTGCCCTGCTGCAGCCTCTGATTTGGCTCTGTCAGTCCGTTTTACAGATGATGAAACAGGCCCAGAAAAATGAGGTGATGTCGATTCATTTAGCACACCATTTTTTGTTGTTGAGATGGAGTTTCACTCTTGTTGCCCAGGTTGGAGTGTAGTGGCACGATCTTGGCTCACAGTAACCTCCGTCTCCTGGGCTCAAGCGATTCTCCTGCCTCAGCTTCCCGAGTAGCTGGGATTACAGGCATGCGCCACCACACCCAGCTAACTTTTATTTTTAGTAGAGACGGGGTTTCTCCCTGTTGGCCAGGCCGGTCTCAAACTCCCAACCTCAGGTGATTCACCCACTTCAGCATCCCAAAGTGCTGGGATTACAGGCGTGAGCCACAGTGCCGGCCCGTGTAGCTCATCTTTACTAAGAACCTAGGCCACAGGGTGGGAAGAACCGCAGTCTAGGGGGGAAGTGGGCATGTGCCAGACAGCCACATGTAGAGTTACAGCTATGCCAAGTGCCAAGAGAAGAGGGGACTGGGGCAGATCCAAGGGACTGGCAGGAGCTCAGAGGAGGCAGCACCTGGGCTACACTCTGGTGAGGAGGATTTAGCGGGAGCAGGAGGGGAACGGTGCACCAGGAAGAGGTAACAGCACGGGCAAAGGCCCAGAGGGAAAAAAGAACTGAGAGTGGAGGGCCCTGAATGGCTCTGCCTGTGAGCTCAGACTCCAAAGCTCCTGCCTGCCTGTGCCTCCCTCTCCCCATCTCCGTCACCTTCATCTGCCGGGCGATCTCCTTCTTCTGATGCAGAATGTACTCCAGGATGGCCTCACGCTCATACAGGTAGCCATCTGGGCTGCAAAGAAAGGGTGCAATAAGAAAGTGATCCTCCCGCCTCAGCCTCCCAACTTGCTGGGATTTTAGGCAGGAGCCACCATGATCAGCCCCAGGCTCGGTCATTTGCTGGAATTGACAGAACTCAGCAAAGCTGTCATACTCATGGTGAAAGAATGTAGATTAAAATCAGCAAAGGAAACAGGCACATGGGGCAGAATCTAGCAGAGACCAGATTTGAGCTTCTAGCTGTCCTCTCCCAATAGAGTTGCAGGGAAAGTGCTTCATTCTCCCAGCAACAATGTGAGACACATACTGCTGCAGCCAGGAGTTCGAGACCAGCCTGGGCAACAAAGCGAGAGCCCCTTGCTACAAAAAGCAAACAAAAAAGGCCAGGTGTGGTAGTGCACACCTGTGGTCCCAGCTACTCGGTGGCGGGGGGGACACAGGGGAGGCCATGGGGGTGCACAGAGGCGGGAGGATCACCTGAGCCTGGCAGATCAGTGAGCCAAGATATCACCAATGCACTCCAGCCTGGGCAACAAAATGAGACTCTATCTCAAGAAAAAAAAAAGGCTGAGGCAGGTGGATCACGAGGTCAGGCATTTGAGACTAGCCTGACCAACACGGTGAAACCCTGTCTCTACTAAAAATACAAAAATTAGCCAGGTGTGTTGGTGGGCACCTGTAATCCCAGCTACTCAGGAGGCTGAGGCAGGAGAATTGCTTGAACCTGGGAGGCGGAGGTTATAGTGAGCCGAGATCGTGACACTGCACTCCAGCCTGGGTGACGGCAAGACTCTGTCTCAAAAAAAAAAAAAAAAAGGACCTGAAGGTGGCCTTGGGGGCCCTGATCATTAGTGTCTTCTATAAAATATACCACTAATTGAGCACGTATTTAGCACCTAGACTCAGCACCTGTTAAGCTTTTGCACTACCATCAGAGGCAGGTCATGGGAAGTGCTCCTGAAGACCTTCTGTGGTGGCCTCAGCAATGCTCCAAGAGCCCTGCACCCCATTAGGAACATGTCCCTTTCCATATGTTCCACACTATGAAAAAGACACTAGGATCATGCCCCTGTCTCAGGTGAGAACACGGAGGCTCTGAGGATAAATTACTCCTCCAGGGTTCCCTGCCTGTGCTGGTGGCCAGATCCACACACAGCCTCCTCCTGGTGGTTCCCTTGCCCCTCCCCACCCACCCCTGACCCCAGCTCACGTGACAACAGGATCGTGGCAGGGCTGCAGGGAGAGGCAACAGCAGTCGAAGTCCTTCACAGCATCTCGGCTCAGTCGAATGTTCTGGGTCCCATAGCCTGAGGCCGCTGGGGACAGAGATGGGCAGAGTGATGGAGGGGCAGAGCAACAGGAGACCTGCCCCTCTCCAAAGCCCGGGAGAGAGGACAGAGACAACGCCGCGGTGGGGGTGGGGGACACAGAGAGAAACAGGCATTCAGGAGCTGTTGTCTGTGTGCTGGGGCAACAGGCTGAACCCAGAGGGAGGTGTCAACCCTGGAGCGTACGTGAGAGGCAGACAGGCCTGGTCACACTGAGTGGCAGCTCGGTGGAGGGGCTGACTTATGACTCCCCTCCAGTCTTCTGGCTGTTACCAAGCTCGAGTGCCTGTCCCTATTTGGGCCTCAGTTTCTTCCTCTGGAACATAGGGTAACAACACGGCGCTCCCTGACGCTCTGTTGGGAGGAGTTAGTTCATGCGCAGAAGGCAGGGAACACAGCGCCAGGCCACACGGGGGCGTGGGATCACCCGGCTATGGCTTACGTGGTCATGGCCATCCGCGTATGTTGGGGGCAGGAGAGAGACAGGGACACAGCGGAAGCAAAACCTCGGCGCGAGGGGAGATGGTGACTCCGAGACACATCCGCACCCCGCCCCAGTCCCCCACCTGTGTCCTTCTTCTTCTCGTGGTAGGTGTAGACAGCCCCCGCGGTGCAGTTCTTGCCGTGCCGCGTCATCCTAGGGAGGAAGGAAGGGAAAGTTGCGGGATTGTGGTGACCCGAGGCAGGCAGCACAGGGACGACCTCTACAGTCCCCAGAGCTCATCTGCCTCCTCGATGGGAAAGCGGAGGCGGAGACGGGGTGAGGTGGAGGAGAGGGAGGGCATGTGGTCGCCAGGCCTCCTCCAGGGAGACTCACCTAGACTCGTTTAGATACTAAAATAGCACTTTTTTTTTTTTTTTTTTTTTCCTGCAGGGTATTCCGTCTCTGCCAGGCTGGAGTGCAATGGCGCGATCTCGGCTCACCGCAACCTCCGCCTCCTGGGTTCAGGCAATTCTCCTGCCTCAGCCTCCTGAGTAGCTGGGATTACAGGCACGCGCCACCATGCCCAGCTGATTTTTTGTATTTTTAGTAGAGACGGGGTTTCATCATGTTGACCAGGATGGTCTCGATCTCTTGACCTAGTGATCCACCCGCCTCGGCCTCCCAAAGTGCTGGGATTACAGGCGTGAGCCACCGCGTCCGGCCTAAAATAGCACCTTTAACAACAAAATTCTTTGAAGGTAAAAGGGCAGGAGGCCAGGATTCAAATTCTAGCCACTACTTCAGAATAGCTGGGGTGGTGGCTGTGCCATTTAACGGAGAAGGGGGAAAAAAAGACGCCAAGGGGGCCACTACTGATGAATCCACTCCGCCTTCCCTTCCCCTCCCATATCTGCAGGCTCGATTGTGGCCAAGGAGAGGACAAGCCCAGTGATTGGCTCAAGCCTGGGCACTTAGCCCAGCTTGAACCATTCAGTGTTTGCCAGTCCACTAGCGATTGGATATAGTGGCTGTGATTGCATCTCAGATCAGCCAATCAGAGAGCAGGTCAGAGTAGGGCTCTGTCTAGGGGAAGAGCTACCTCCACTCTCACTGCAGGCAAAGGTGGAAAAGCAAGCCCCGGAACCCTGGAGCTCAATTCAAAAAATAAAACTTTTTTATTCTGTGAGTTTTCAAACACATACAAAACCAGAATAGTATAAGGAACCCCTATGTACCCAAATCCTGGGGTCCAGCAGCTGTCAACATTCTGCCACCCTACTTTGATACCTCCCTGGTCATCATTCCCCACACGTGAGTGCAACCCCACCTTTTAAATGACTTTATTGAGACACAATTCACACACCGTAAAATTCACACTATTAAAGTGGTTTTAGGCTGGGTGTGGTGGCACCTGCCTGTAATCCCTGCTACTAGGGAGGCTGAGGCACCGAGAATTGCTTGAGCCCAGGAGGCAGAGATTGCAGTGAGCTAAGATCACGCCACTGCACTCCAGCCTGGGAGACAGAGCAAGACTCTGTCTCAAAATAAATAAATAAAAATAAAGTGGTTTCAGTGTATTTAAAACTAATTGCAGAACATTTTCATCACCCCCATAAGAAAGCGGCTCATTAGCAGTTCTCTCTCCAACCCCAGCCCAGGGCAACCACTCCGCTATTTTGTCTCTGTCTAGACTTACCACTCGGAACATTTTATATAAGTTGAATCACACAATATTTGTCCTTTTAGGTTGCCTTTTTAATTTTTTTGAGACAAGGTCTTGCTCTGTTGCCCAGGCTGGAGTGCAGTGGTATGATCACAGGTCACTACAGCCCTGACCTCTCAAACTCAAAGGGATCCTCTCATCTCAGCCTTGAGTAGCTGGGATTACAGGTGCCCGCCAGGATGACTGGCTACTGTTTGTCCTTTTATGTCTGGTGGCTTTAATTAAGCATGCTTTCAAATTCAACTTTAATCCGCTTTGTGGAATGTGGCAGTACTTCATTCCTTTTTTTTTTTTTTTTTTTTTTTTAAGAGATGGAGTCGCCGGGCGCGGTGGCTCAAGCCTGTAATCCCAGCACTTTGGGAGGCCGAGGCGGGTGGATCACGAGGTCAAGAGATCGAGACCATCCTGGTCAACATGGTGAAACCCCGTCTCTACTAAAAATACAAAAAATTAGCTGGGCATGGTGGCACGTGCCTGTAATCCCAGCTACTCAGGAGGCTGAGGCAGGAGAATTGCCTGAACCCAGGAGGCGGAGGTTGCGGTGAGCCAAGATCGCGCCATTGCACTCCAGCCTGGGTAACAAGAGCAAAACTCCGTCTCGAAAAAAAAAAAAAAAGTAATGGTGAGGAATCCCCAGTCCTACTTAGCCATCATTTCCCATCAGTCCGGCAGGTATGTCCTCGGTCTGTATGTTGCTACAGATTCACCCCTGCATGGACGCAAGCCTCGGATTTGATGCCTGTGACAGGCATGCATGCTAAACATTGGATACCACTCTGCTTTGTCATATAGACAAGGATGTCACCACAGTTCCCCGAGGGTTAGAGGAAGAAAGAGAGAGAGAGAAAGGAGGGAGGGAGGAGGAAGGAAGGAGAGAGGGAGGGAAGGGGGGAAGGGAGGGAGGGAGGGACAGAAGTAAGTCAAATCCTTGTCCACTATGACAACAAAGCAGCTTGGTACCCAATGTCTAGCATGTGAGCAAGGACGTTTTTCAGATAAATTGTTTTTTCTTCCTTTTAAGACAGGGTCTCACTCTGCCACCCAGGCTGAGTGCAGTGGCACAATCAGAGCTCACTGCAGCCTCAAACTCCTGGGCTCAAGTGATCTTCCCACCATAGTAGCTGGGAATGCAGGCATGCACCACCATGCCCAGCTAATTTTTTACCCAGACGGGGTCCTGCTATGTTGTCCAGGTCGGTCTTGAACTCCCGTACTCAAGGGGTCCTCCTGCTTTGGCCTCCCAAAATGCTAGGATGACAGGTGTGAGCTGCTGCACCCAACCCTGCTTTTAAGATAAATTTTAAAAGTGGAATCACTGGCTCAAAGGGTATGTGCATTTAAAACATGGTTAGAGGCTGGGCTGAGTGCAGTGGTGTTTACACCTAATCCATCCCAACCAGTTACAGATTTGTTACTTCTCCACTTCCACTGCTTCACTTGACCAACCTTAAAAAAAATTTTTTTTTTTTTGGTTGGGCGCAGTGGCTCACACCTGTAATCCTAGCACTTTGGGAGGCCGAGGTGGGTGGATCACCTGAGGTCAGGAGTTCAAGACCAGCCTGGCCAACATGGTGAAACCCCATCTTTAAAAAAAAAAAATTTTTTTTTTTTGAGACGGAGTCTCCCTCTGTTGCCCAAGCTGGAGTACAATGGCATGATCTCAGCTCACTGCAACCCTCACCTCCCAGGTTCCAGCAATTCTCCTGACTCAGCCTCCTGAGTAGCTGGGATTTACAGGCATGTGCCACCACACCCAGCTAATTTTTTTGTACTTTTTTTTTGTACAGATGAAGTTTCACCATGTTGGCCAGGCTGGTCTCGAACTCCTGACCTCAGGTGATCCACCCGCCTCGGCCTCCCAAAGTGCTGGGATTACAGACATGAGCCACCGCGCCAGGCCAACAACTAGCATCTAAAATGGTCAGTTCTACGATAATGCATGCATTCACAGAAATCACGACAATAGGCAAAGCCCTGCAGGCTTACGGAGACAACAGGACTGTCGCAGTCCTCATAAACTTTATCAGTGATGCTTAAAGAAAGACTGGAACAGAATACAAAAGGAGAGAACAGTTTCAAACGGGTGAAGTGGTTAAGACATACCAACATACTCCAAAAAATATGGCACACGACCTTGACAAAGACTTGAAGTTTGTTGTGGCAATGGGTGTGGGGTGGAGGGAGCACCGTGTGAATCACTGTGATGTGGTGGAAGGAGGGTTATCTGAGATCTGATGGAAAGTCCTAGTACCAGATGTGGATGGGTGTGGCTCTAACACCCCGGGAACTGTGGTGATATTATTTGTTAGGAGTGCCGCGTATGTGTGCTTTGTGTTTTCCTACACACACACTTATAGCAGAGTGCAGTTTCCTGGATTCACCTTGGATGTGTGTAAGCAAATGTGTTATTGGTGTTATGCTCAAATTGTGCCCTAATATATCAATTGCATTGGAATAAATTCACACTTTCAAAATAAGCATTATAACAGAACTGATGGTACACAAAAACTCCAGCAAATCAAGAAGAAAGTAGCAGCCACTCCGATAGAAAGATGAGTAAAAGAGGCTGGGTGCCGTAGTTCATGCCTGTAATCTCAGCCCTTTGCGAGGCCAAGGCAAGAACACTGCTTAAGGCTGGGAGTTCAAGACCAGCCTAAGCAATATAGCTAGACGCCATCTCTACAAATAAAAAACAATTTTTTTTGAGATGGAGACTCGCTGTGTCGCCAGGCTGGAGTGCAGTGGTGCAATCTCGGCTCACTGCAACCTCCGCCTCCCAGGTTCAAGCAATTCTTCTGCCTCAGCCTTGGTGGCGCATGTCTGTAATCCTGTCACTTTGGGAGCCCAAGGTAGGCGGATCGCCTGAGCTCGGAAGATGGACACCAGCTTGGGCAACTTGGCAAAACCCTATTTCTACGAAAACTACAGAACTTACTTAGCCAGGCGTGGTGGCACATGCCTATAGTCCCAGCTATTCAGGAGTCTGAGGTTAGAGGATTGTCTGAGCCTGGGGAGGTGGAGGCTGCAGTGAGTTGAGACTGCTCCACTGCCTTGGAGCCTGGGTGACAAAATTACTTAATGAGCAAAAGCTATGAAGAGGCAGAAGAAACTCAAAAGCCCAACACACATATGGAGAGATGCTGAAATGAAATCTTCTAATGAAATCTATAGTGATAGTTTACACCTATCAGCAGGCTGGCCAGCCAAATTTTGAAAGATGGGTAAGATCAAAGCTTGGTGGCCCTGTGGGGATCACAGGAACCATTAGGCAATGATGCTGGGACGTGGACAGTGTCAGCCACCCTGGAACACAGGCTGGCGGTACTTTGGTAAGCAGGTGTATGTAGGTGTATGTGATTCTGCACTGTGGTACATGTGCCCCAAAGTAATTCCCAGAGAGATCTGCAGGGAGCATGGGCCAGGACTTTCACAGCAGTGTTATGTATCCTAGAGGAGACTCAAAGGCTGCTGAATGTACTAAAACGTGGTGACTGACAGCCCTCAGATCCAACAGACTAGCATCATGTGAGGATCTTTAAATCATAATGCTTGAGACCTCAATACCAGGTAGGCACAGGAAATCTACAGGTGCATACAATGATACATTTTAAAGAACACTTGGGCTGGGCACCGTGGCTCACGCCTGTAATCCCAGCACTTCGGGAAGCCAAGGCAGGCAGATCACAAGGTCAAGAGATCAAGACCATCCTGGCCAACATGGTAAAAACCCACCTCTACTAAAAATACAAAAATTAGCTGAGCATGGTGGCTCGAGCCTGTAGTCCCAGTTACTCGGGAGGCTGAGGCAGGAGAATTGCCTGAACCTGGGAGGCGGAGGTTGCAGAGAGCCAGGATCACGCCACTGCACTCCAGCCTGGAGATAGAGCAAGACTCCATCTCAAACAAACAAACAAACAAACAAACCAAAGAACACTTGCAGGCTGGGCACCGTGGCTCACGCCTGAGGTAAGCTGATCACTTGAGGTCAGGAGTTCGAGACCAGCCTGGCCAACATGGTGAAACCCTGTCTCTACCAAAAGTACAAAAATTAGCCAGGCATGGTGGTGTGCACCTGTAATCCCAGCTACATGAGAGGCTGAGGCACAAGAATTGCTTGAACCCAGGAGGTGGAGGTTGCAGTGAGCCAAGATTCTACCAATGCACTCCAGTCTGGGTGATAGAGACTCGTCTCAAAAAATAAGTGAATAAATAAAAAGAACACTTGCAGACAAAAGGCTCCACATTACACATATTAGCTGCATTCAGGAACAATTGTCACCTGCTCTCAAGTAGGCTGCAAGTAGGATCCAGAATTTGGGACGGGGAGCACAACCAAGGGTCCCACCTCTGTAAAAAGCAACTTCATCTCTATCGCCCCCTTCTGGTTGCTTTGAAAAACTTGCCTTTCCCATTCACAACTTGAAACACACAAACCTCTGGGAGCTACGGAGCTCTCTCTCCCCCTACTGGCGTCTTCTCAGAAGCCACACTTTGGGTTTTAAGTATATTTACACAGAATCAGTGCAAAGCCTTTACAGGTTAAATGCGTTTTGACAAATGTATACACCCTTGTGATCATGACCCTGTGGAGATACAGAACCTTCCTATCACCCTAAACATCTCCCTCACGCCCCTTCTTGATCAGTGTGGCCCTCGAGGCCACCGGGGCTGCTGGCAGAAGGGGACCTTGATCAAACTTCACCCAGGCTCCCCTCTACCCGCCAGGCTCCTCCTCCGACTTCCCCTGACCCACAAGCTTCACAGTGAGCATCCAGCACCTGTTGCCTCCCCTCGCTCACCTGCCACCCGCTCCCCAGCCCCCCCAGCTGCCACTCATGAAGGTCATGTTGACCTTTTCATGGACACATTCCCCACGCTATTCTTAGTCGTCAACTGCCTTGACTCTCTGCGGTATTTGGCTCTGGGCACCTCTGCTTTCCCAGAGATGAGCTTGCTTGCTTTTGTGGCCAAGAACTGAGGTTTCTACATAGATAAGGACATTTTCCCTCCAAAATGAGAGAAACAGCTAGAGTGGGAGCATTTAAAACTTTCTTTTTTTTCTGAGACGGAGTTTCGCTCTTGTTCCCCTGGCTAGAGTGTGATGGTGTGATCTTGGCTCACCACAACCTCCACCTCCTGGGTCCAAGCGATTCTCCTGCCTCAGCCTCCCGAGTAGCTGGGATTACAGGCGTACACAACCACACCTGGCTAATTTTGTATTTTTAGTAGAGACAGGGTCTCTCCATGATTGTCAGGCTGGTCTTGAACTCCCGACCTCAGGTGATCCACCCACCTACGCCTCCAAAAGTGCTAGGATTACAGGCATAAGCCACCGCACCCAGCCTAAAATTATTAATTTTTCTAGAGACAGGGTCTTGCTCTGTCTCCCAGGCTGGAGTGCAGTGGTGTCATCACGGCTCACTGCAGCCTTGACCTCCTGGGCTCAAGTGATCCTCCCACTTCAGCCTCCCCAATAGCTAAGCTAATTTAATTTTTTTGTAGAGATGGGGTCTCGCTATGTTGCCCAGGCTGGTAAACCCCTGACCTGAAGTGATCCTCCTGCCTCAGCCTTCCAAACTGCTGGGATTAAAGGTGTGACCCACTGGGTCACAGGGTAAGGGAGCAATTTTTTCTTTGCTGGGTGATAATAAAGAATAATCCCGAGGCTAAATTTTTATATTTTTAGTAGAAACAGGGTTTCACCATGTTGGCCAGGCTGGTCTCAAACTCCTGACCTCAAGTGATCTGCCTGCCTTGGCCTCCCAAAGTGCTGGGATTACAGGCGTGAGCCACTGCACCCGGAAAACTCTTTGATTTTTAAAACTCAATGATTTTTAAGATCCTGAGACCAGAAAGCATGAGTGCCTCCAACCTAGGGTTCAAGAATAGCCAGGTTCAGGATTTACAAACCCCAGAAGCTGAGCTCTCGCTCTCCCATGCTATATTGTCTCTTTGGTAGGTCCAATTTCAAAATAGAAAGCAGAACTGCTGCCATCTGCTGTCACTGGCATTTCAGAGGAAACAGGCGCAGAGCAGGAGCAACTGATGTCGGCATCATCCCCACCTCCCAGGGCAGGAGACAGACTCACAGTGTCTCCCAGTTGGGATGTGGCAGAGCTGGGACTCAGACCTAGAAAGCCAGGCTCTGGAGACATTCCTCTTAACTATGTGGCAACTGTCAGTCCTCCCAGGAAACTCACAATTGCAGACAAAAAGGCCTATCCTTTCCTTTATTTGCAGCCTTTGCAATCCAGAGTGCATTCTCCTTCATCACATCTCAGTAATTTCAGTAATTCTGGTGCTAAATTTTCTATTTTTTTGAGACAGAGTTCTGCTCTTTTCGCCCAGGCTGGAGTGCGGTGGCGCAACCTCAGCTCACTGCAACCTTCGCCTCCTGGGTTTAAGCGATTCTCCTACCTCAGCCTCCCAAGCAGCTGGAATTACAGGTGCCCACCACCATGCCTGGCTAATTTTTTGTATTTGTAGTAGAGACAGGGTTTCGCCTTGTTGGCCAGGCTGGTCTCGAACTCCTGACCTCAGGTGATCCACCTGCCTCGGCCTCCCAAAGTGCTGGGATTACAGGCATGAAGCCACTGCACCCGGCCTTGCCCATTTAAGAGGTAGGAAAATGGAGGCTTGGAGAAACTGGTCCCTTCCTTAGTCAGACCACAGCCTTGGGGGCTTTTCAGAATAAAAGTTTGATTAAGTCCCTCTCTTCAACTGCTTCTTGGACATGACTCAAGACAAAAACCAAACTGTGTTCAGACTCTAAGTGTAAGAGGAATGAAAGAACAGGAGAAGCGCCCTTTTGTAACCTCTGGTGAAACAGCTGACTCAGGCAACGACTGTTGATGGATGGCATTAAGGGAGAGGCTGGTGGGGCCTGGATATTCACAGGATGCTAATTCTTGCTACTGGAAGCGACAAGGTTGGAGCTTTACGATGCGGTTTTCGATGGCTGCCATAACAAAATACCACTCTGGGTGGCTCAAACAATAGACCCATTTCCTCCAGTTCCTGAGGCTGGAGGTCTACGTTCAGGCTGCCAGCATGGTGGGGTTCTGGAGACGCCCTCCTCCTGGTTTGCAGATGGCTACCTTCAGTGGCAGAGGAATAGCTCTCTGGCGTCTCCTCTTTTTTGAGGGGAGTCTCACTCTGTCACCCAGGCTGGAGTACGGCGGCACGATCTCGGCCCACTGCAGTCACCTCCCTGGTTCAATGATCTCCTGCCTCAGCCTCCCAAGTAGCTGGGATTACAGGTATCCGCCATCAGGCCCAGGTAATTTTTGTCTATTTAGTAGAGACAGGGTTCTGCTATGTTGGCCAGGCTGGTCTCGAATGCCTGACCTCAGGTGATCTACCTGCCTCGGCCTCCCAAAGTGCTGGGATTACAAGCATGAGCCACCGTGCCCAGCCTCCTCCTTTTATAAGGACACCGATCAATCCATCAGATTAGGGCCCCACCCATTCACCTTAATTATTTCCATAAAGGCTCTACCTCCAAATACAATCACGTTGAGGCCATATGAATCTGGGCGGTATTCAGTATATAATGCTCCCTGAAGTTTGGATGAATTTTGCCACCCCATGAAATCGGACACCTAGGCAGTACACAACAATGAAGGGACCAGCTCTGAAGTAGTCACCCAATAGCGGAACTGAAATTTAATCAGGCCTTTACATTCAATTTCCGGATTCCATAGGAGGGAATAACAAAAAAAGGGCCGGAGAGTAACTGTTTTCAACTTTGCAGGCCAAACAGCCCCTGTAAATACTCCACCCTGCCCCTGCAGCATAAAAGCAGCCACAGACACACAAATAGGCATGGCTGTGTTCCAATTAAACTGTATTTATAGACCGTGACACAGAATCACATCTAATTGTCATAGGTCACCAAGTTCATTCTTTTGATTTTTACCAGTTATGTAAAAATGTTAAAAGCCATTCTTAGTTTGCAGGCTGAACAAAAACAGGTAGCAGTTAAAAAGTCAGATAGCTTGGTCGGGTGCTTGGGCTCTCACCTGGAATCCCAGCACTTTGGGAGGCTGAGGCAGGGAGATCACAAGGTCAGGAGTTCAAGACCAGCCTGGCCAATACGGTGAAACCCTATCTCTACTAAAATTTCAAAAATTAGCCAGGTGTAGTGGTGCATGTCTGTAGTCCCAGCTACTTGGGAGGCTAAGGCAGGAGAATCGCTTGAACCCAGGAGGTGGACGTTGCAGTGAGCCGAAATCACGACACTGCACTCCAGCCTGGGTGACAGAGCAAGACTCCATCTCAAAAAAAAAAGTCAGATATCTGCTGGTGGTTCTGGCTCACACCTGGACACAGCACTTTGGGAGGCCAAGGCAAGAGGATCACTTGGACCCATGAGTTCAAGACCGCCCTGGGCAATATGGTGAAACTGTGACTCTACCAAAATAAATAAATAAAGCAGCAGCAGCCAGGAGTTTGCGACCAGATTTGAACTTGCTGTGGGCAACACAGCAAGACCCCATCTCTACAAAAAACTTTTTAAAAACCTAGTTGGAGCCGGGCGCAGTGGCTCAAGCCTGTAATCCCAGCACTTTGGGAGGCCGAGGCGGGTGGATCACAAGGTCAAGAGATCGAGACCATCCTGGTCAACACGGTGAAACCCCGTCTCTACTAAAAATACAAAAACTTAGCTGGACATGGTGGCGCGTGCCTGTAATCCCAGCTACTCAGGAGGCTGAGGCAGGAGAATTGCTTGAACCCAGGAGGCAGAGGTTGCAGTGAGTCGAAATCGCACCACTGCACTCCAGCCAGGGCAACACAGCAAAAAAAGATAAAGGACTGGAATATACATTTCTTCAAAGTTCTACAAATGGCCAATAAGGACGGTAAAAGATACCAGTTCATACCAACTAGAATGACTAAAATCAAAAAGACAGATAATAATAAGTGCTGGTGTAGAAACGGAGAAACTGGAACCCTCATGATTGGTGGTAGAAATGTAAAATGGTATAGCCATTTTGGAAAAGTCACAGTTTCTCAAAAGATTACACAGAGTCACCTTTTGAGCCAGCAATTTCACTGCCAATAGAAATAAAAACATATGTCCACACAAAAACTTGTATACAAATGTTGCTAGCAGTATTATTTATAAAAGGTAAAAAGTGGAAGGCCGGGCACGGTGGCTCATGCCTGTAATTCTAGCACTTTGGGAGGCCCTGAGGTTGGGAGTTCAAGGCCAGCCTGACCAACATGGAGAAACCCCTCTCTACTAAAAATACAAAATTAGCTGGCCATGGTGGCACATGCCTGTAATTCCAGCTACTTGGGAGGCTGAGACAGGAGAATCACTTGAACCCAGGAGGCAAAGGTTGCAATGAGCCGAGATCCCACCATTGCAGTCTAGCCTGGGCAACAAGAGCAAAACTCCATCTCAAAAACAAACAAACAAAGTGGAAACAACACAAATATATACCAACTGAAGAACAGATGAGCAAGATAAGTATATCCTGGGCAAAGGAACATTATTCAGCCACGAATAATGTTCAGCCAATAACGTGGCTGGCTGGTGCTGATGGCTCACACCTGTAATCCCAGTACTTTGGAAGGCCAAGGCAGGAGGATCACTTGAGCCCAGGAGGTTGAGGCTGTAGTGAGCCATGATCAAACCACTGCACTCCAGCCTGGCCAACACAGTGAGGCCCAGTCTCAAAGAAAATAAAGGCCAGGCGCAGTGGCTCATGTCTGTAATCCCAGCAGTTTGGGAGGCCAAGGTGGGTGGATCACCTGAGGTCAGGACTTTGAGGTCAGGAGTTCGAGAACAGCCTGGTCTCCAACTCCCGACCTCAGGCGATCCACCTGCCTCCACCTCCCCAAGTGCTGGGATTACAGGTATGAGCCACTGCTCCTGGCCAATGCTGATTTTTAAAACAGGTAGCTGGCAGGATTTGGATTTGGTGGCAGAATATAGTTAGCTGATCCCTGGCGTAAAGAAGCAAGTAAAATGAGGCCAGGTTCAATGGCTCAAATCTGTAATCTTGGCACAGCACTTTGGGAGGCCAAGACAGGAGGAGCATTTAAGCCCAGGAGTTTGAGGCCAATCTGGGTAATATAGCAAGACCTTATCTCTATTTTTAAATAGTTTAAAACAAAAAAAGAGACAGAAACAAGTAAAATAAGACCACAGAAAAAGCAAACGGACAAATTCAGATGGTGGGATGATCAACAGAACTAGACTTAAGTTTCTTCACTGAATTGATTTCACCAAGAAAAAAACAAACTGGAGTGGAAGGGGGAACAGTTTTTTTTTTTTTGAGATGGAGTCTCGCTCTGTAGCCCAGGCTGGAGTGCAGTGACGCAATCTCGGTTTACTGCAACCTCTGCCTCCCAGGTCCCGGTTCAAGCAATTCTCCTGCCTCAGCCTCCCAAGTAGCTGGGATTACAGGCATGCACCACCACACCCAGCTAATTTTGTATTTTTAGTAGAGACGGGGTTTCTCCATGGTCAGGCTGGTCTCGAACTCCTGACCTCAGGTGATCCACCCGCCTCAGGAGCCACCGCGCCTAGCTTAATTTAGAAATTTAATCAAGTTAATCAGTTTAACCAAGTAGCATTCTGTTTTCTGTTTCTGCTTTTCTCAGCCCTTTGTCTCTGAAAACAACCTCCTCCTCTGCTCAGCTTATTGGAACACTCATGCCATTTTCCAGTATTAGATGTCTCATTCTAGATTTGCAAATAAATGCCAACTAAGATCTTCTCACTACATGTGTTGTAACTTTGTCTTTTGACAATCATGAAGTGTCATGATGCCTAGGATTTGTTTTAATCTCTTTAAGTTAAGAAATAAAAATACACCTGGTGCGGTGGCTCACATCTGTAATCCCAGCACTTTGGGAGGCTGAGGCGGGTGGATCAGGAGGTCAGGAGATCAAGACCATCCTGGTCAACATGGTGAAACCCCGTCTCTACTAAAAATACAAAAACATTAGCTGGGCATGGTGGCGCATGCCTGTAATGCCAGCTACTGAGGAGGTTGTTGCAGGAGAATTGCCTGAACCCAGAAGGCGGAGGTTGCGGTGAGCCGAGATCACGCCATTGCACTCCAGCTTGGGTAACAAGAGTGAAACTCCGTCTCAAAAAAAAAAAAAAAAAAATACAAAAATTAGCTCGGCGTGGTGGTGCGCACATGTAGTCCCAGCTTATCGGGAGGCTGAGGCAGGAGAAGCACTTGAACCAGGGAGGCGGAACCAGGTGCAGTGAACCAAGATCGTGCCACTGCACTCCAGCCTAGGCGACAGGGCCAGGTTCCCTCTCACACACACACACACAAAATACAGCAAGTATGGCCAAAATAATAATTTGTAGATTTGGGTGACAGGAATTCCTATTTCTTCTCTCACTTTCATATAAGTTTGAACATCTTCATAAGAAAACATTAACACCCAACTGCCTCAAGGCCCCCTCAAGCCCCAAGTTCACAGAATTAGCAGCACAATCAGAATGTGAATCTATGACTGCCGGATCCCGAAGCTCCACGCAGGAAAACGTGAAGCCCTGTACCCACCCCGAGAGGGAAGTGGATGTCAGGTGAAAAGAAAGTGGCGATGGACGACTGGACAATCTAGTATCGCCCGCCGTCCCATCACAGTCCGGGAAACTGAGACCAGAAAAGGAGTTCTCTTCCCTCAACTCCCACGCCTTAGACCCCCAGCAATCCCAGTCCACTCCTTCCCTTGGGACCGCCAGCAAATAGCCATCTGCAGCGGAACTGTAACTCTCGGGAGAACTGGCCGATGCTAGCTACCACTTGGCTGAGTTTATAGTGAGAGAGAGAGAGAGAACTGACCGATGCACGGTTGGCCACCTCCAGGGGAGCGTAGCTCAGCTTCAAACTTGGGGCGCCCGTACAGCTCTATTAATAATGATCGACAGGGAGTCCGGAATCCAAAATCTTGCCCAGGTCTCCCTCAAGACCCCAGACCTCTAGCCCGCAGGAAAGTGATCCCAGCAACACTCTTCCTACATCGTCTCGAACTCACCTCAAGAGCGACTCTCAGTTCCTTGGTCGTTTCTTCAACTGTGCCCAGACACCGGAAAGGACCGCCGGTTACCCCCTCCGCTCCGCCCACTTCCGCCCAGCCAAGGCACCGGAAGCAGAGGTGCCCCTAGTTACGGAAGTGCCTCGTCCGGCTTGCTCAAGTCCTCTCTTCTCCTCTTTCTCCCTCCGGAAACGTGAGTGGCAAATCGAAGGTTCCGGTTATTGAAGCTGGTGGGAATATGGGGAACGCTTAGTATGTACTAGGCATTTCCCAGGGAGCTATTTTTTTCTTGTTTGATGCCCAGGCTTTGAGTCTCTCCAAGCCCAAATGTAAGGACTTACCACTTCCCCTAGGTATTAAGAAGCCCTCTTTCCCAAATATCCACTTTTCTTGCTGCATCTTTTTTTTTTTTTTTTTTTGAGACGGAGTTTCACTCATGTTACCCAGGCTGGAGTGCAATGGCGCGATCTCGGCTTACCGCAACCTCCGCCTCCTGGGTTCAAGCAATTCTCCTGCCTCAGCCTCCTGAGTAGCTGGGATTACAGGCACACACCACCATGCCCAGCTAATTTTTTTTTGTAGCTTTAGTAGAGACGGGGTTTCACCATGTTGACCAGGATGGTCTCGATCTCTTGACCTTGTGATCCACCCGCCTCGGCCTCCCAAAGTGCTGGGATTACAGGCTTGAGCCACCGCGCCCGGCTTCTTGCTGCATCTTAAAACACAATGGAGAAGGGACAACTGCGCTCCCATTTTATAGACAGAACCATTGGAAATGGAAAGGCAAAGCCGTTCCAGTCGTCCTCGGGAAACAGGGATTCACTGCGGCACTGCCCAGCTGTCCCAGGAACTAAGGCACATCGTTCCCGCCAGTTTCTAGATAGCTAGAGACCCAGACATTGATTTTTCTAGCTTGGCCAGGCGAACACCCAGGGGAGAGGCGGAGCGGTTAGGGGCAGGAGGAAAAAGGAGGGTCGAATCCCATCTCCCAAGTGCCCCAAGGTATTCGACACCTTGGCTCCCCCAGGGAGCTCAGGCCTTTAAGTCCTTTATCCAAAGGTCCCTTTAAATACTTTGTCCCTCACCTGAGTCCCGCCCAGGGCAGGTAATAACAAGCTCCGCCCCTCTGCCAGAAACCGGGATCGGGCCTGGTTACCCGGAGTGGGGAGCCCCTCCTCCCCCCTCCCCTCTTCCCTGTCCCCCTTCACAGGTGGCTGTAGGTGGCCAAGGAGGTCCGGATTAAAGAGGAAGGGGCAGTGCTCACAGGTCTGGGCAGGTAAGTGAATGCTCCTGGAGGAAAAGCTTGGCTTGGGGACCCAGGCATCCTAGCTCCCCGCCCCTCTGAGATCTAGAAGCCTGGGGCTCCTAGGCTTAGGAGTTCAGGGTCCCTGCCCCCTTAGATCCCTAGACCCAAGAATATATTTAATCCCCGGCCTCTGCCTCTGTCGTAATCTTTGTTGTCTGTGCATGGATGTGACAATGAACACAGAAGCACAAGTGGAAATTACCAGGAAGGGAAGAGTCCAGATCACCAATGGACATGTTTATGAGCGCCTGGGTCCGGTGCTGCAGACACAGTGGAGAAAAAGATAAGCTCCCTGGACCCGGGAGGCAGAGGTCACAGTGAGCTGAGATAGCGTCACTGCACTTCAGCCTGAATGGCAAAGCAAGACTGTGTCCCAAAAGAAAAGTGAAATGAGTTTATATAGGTAAACGGTGTCTGGCACCAGTGTCTGCTTGTGTAACTGTCCACTGTTATTATCATTACAGACCACAGAGGCCAGTCAGAGAGATACTGCCTCACTACGCAGGGACTGAGGCCCTTGTCAGCTGTAACACACCTACTTCTAGGTGTCCACAAAATATGAGGGGCCACCCCTCTCTGCTGCTGCTATACATGGGATTTACCACCTGCCTCAATACTTCACCCAGTGGGGAGAAAGACCAAGGTGAGTGTGTGGGGGAAGTAGTGTCCAGGCACTTGACCTTGGCCTCCCCCAACTCAGGAATGCCTGCCTCTATTCCCCCACTCTTCCAGGAATCCAGGGCCCGGCCCTTTCCTCCTTCAGACCCAGGAGTCTGGATTCCCAGTCCCTACTCCTTCCTCCAGGACCCCACTGCTCCCCATCCCCCTGTGACTCTGGCCCTAGGGACCCTCTGTTTTTCTCTCCCTCACATCTTTGGGCCCAGAAGTCTTCCTGGGTCCCCCAGAGGCCCAGAGCTTCCTGAGTCGCCATACCCGGATTCGAAGAGCCAATCACTGGGACCTGGAGCTGTTCACACCAGGGAACCTGGAACGGGAGTGTCTGGAAGAGAAGTGTTCCTGGGAAGAGGCCAGGGAGTATTTTGAGGACGACACTCGCACGGTGAGGGCTTCGAGACCCTGGAGGCTAGGGCCCCCGTCTTCTCTATACCTGAGGGGAGGTGGCGGGTATGTTCTGGCCCTCAACTCCCTCCTCCCCGTCTCAGAAATCAGGGTGGGCTCGTTTGGGTTGTGAACGTCCCAGCTGAATTGCCGCTTTTCCTCTTTTTTCCACTCCTCTCCCTTCAAGGAGCACTTTTGGGAGAGCTACATCTACAATGGGAAAGGAGGTGAGTGAGGGGCTGAAGCTGTCTTCTTCTGTGCAGCCATGGCAGCCCCTTCCCAGGGAGGACAAACCAATGTCCTCCACCCCAAATTAGGGACAAGAATTGTCTGCCCCCCAATTCTCTGCTCCCTGAAGCTGGCTACTAAGGGAGTTTCCTCCCTTAAGACCCCAGCTTGATGCTGGGCATGGTGGCTCAAGCCTGTAATCCCAGCACTTTGGGAGGCCAAGGCAGGCGGATCACAAAATCAGGAGTTCAAGACTAGTCTGGCCAACATAGTGACTAAAAATACAAAAGACAGCCGGGTGTAGTGGTGTTCGCCTGTGATCCCAGCTACTTGGGAGGCTGAAGCAAGAGAATTGCGTGAATCTGGGAGGCAGAGGTTGCAGTGAGCTGAGATCATGCCACTGCACTCCAGCCCAGGTGATAGTGCGAGACTTTGTCTCAAAAAAAAAAAAAGACCCCAGTTTGTCTGAGGAGCCCCCCACGTCTTATTATTATTTTATTTTTAATTATTTTTGAGATAGGGTCTGGCTCTGTCGTCCAGGCTGGGTGCTGTGGTACAATCTTGGCTCACTGCAACCTTAACCTCCCAGGCCCAAGCGATCCTCCCACCTCAGTCTCCGGATTAACTGGGATTCCAGGCACACACCACAATGATAATTTTTGTAGTCTTTGTAGAGACGGGGTCTGTGTTGCCCAGGCTGGTCTTGAAGGCCTGGTCTCCAGCAGTCCTCCTGCTTCAGCCTCCCAAAGTGCTGGGATGACAGGTGCCAGGCCCCACCACATCTTATTGGATGCAGGTCCCCTGTCCCTAGGAAGGGAAACGTGTCAGTGGAGGGAAAGGATAGAGCTATGTGGTCTGTCAGGCCTTCGGCTCAGAGTGGGCAGCCCCACCTGCATCCAGAGTAAGTGGAAAGACCAGCCCCTCTGGCAGCTTGGTTGCTGGGGACACTGCCCTCTAGCAACAGGACCAAGGGAGGAAGCCTGCCCGTCCTCACCTGCCCATTTTGCCCCCCACAACCCCTCCTCTGAGTTCCGAGGCCCTATCTTGTTGGCAGCCTTGTTGCTAAGGGGGGCCGCTCCTTAGCAACGGGGCCTGGCCAGGCCAGACCAGACGAAGAAGCCTGAAGCAGTACCTGGCTGGTCTCCCCTCCCCCACAGCCCCATCCCAGCAGCTGCCTGGTTGCTAAGGAGGCCTTCTCCCTAGCAACCACACCTAGCTAGGCTTTAGGACCCAAGGCCTCCTGCCCACTGGAGGACCACCCTCTGGGCCCCCGATGCCCCACCCCCTTGTGGCCCAGTTGCTAGGGGTAGATGCACCTTAGCAACAGGCCCTAGGTCTGGACTGGCGCCTCACATTGGAGCCTGGTTGCTAGGGGAGGTAACTCCTTCCCAACAGGCCTCGCGAGGCCTGGTGGCTCCTTGAATCCACCTGAAGGTACCCAAATCAGGAGAACCTGTCTTCTGAAGCCGCACTTGTGCTTTTTTCTAAAGGGGCACAAAAGTTTGAGGTTTACTGCAGCTGGATGCAGTGGCTCATGCCTGTAATCCCAGCGCTTTGGGAGGCCGAGGCAAGTGGATCACCTGAGATCAGGAGTTCGAGATCAGCCTGGCCAATGTAGTGAAACCCCATCTCTACTCAAAATACAAAAATTAATTAATACAAAAATACAAAAAGATGTGGTGATGTATGCTGTAATCTCAGCTACTTGAGAGGCTGAGGCAGGAGAATTGCTTGAACCCGGGACGTGGAGGTTGCAGTGAGCTGAGACTGCATCACTGCACTTCAGCCTGGGGGATAGAGCAAGACTCCATCACAAAAAAAAAAAAAAAAATCTGGGGTTTACTTTTGGAGGAAAGTCCGCCTACCTAGTGCCCATGGAAATTTCCCCAGGAGCAAGCAGTAGCAAGCCCTCCCCAAGCCCAACGGCTCCCTGTACCCCGCTTGTCCTTAGACTGGAGGCCTTGGATTACAAACAGGGCTGCACCTTAGTAACAGGTCAAACAGGAGCTCTAGATTCTTAGTTATGTTTTGGGGGGATCCCTAAATTCCTCATTTGTTTTCTGTTGTTTTTGAAATGAGGTCTTGCTCTATCGCCCAGGCTGGAGTGCAGTGGCACAATCACGGCTCACTGCAGCTCAAGTGATCTTTCCACCTAAGCCTCCCGAAGAGCTGGGATTACAGGAACGCACCACCACGCCCAGATAATTAAAACAAATTGTTTTTGTAGAGATGGGGTCTCACTGTGTTGTCCAGGCTGGTCTTGAACTCCTGAGCTCAAGTGATCCTCCTGCCTTGGCCTCCAAAGTGCTGGGATTACAGGCATGAACCACTGTGCCTTGCCAATTCTTCCATTGTTAAGTGAATTTTTTCCAGCTTTCTGGTAAACTCAGAAACGTTCCTGTCGATTCTGTTCTTCCTTCAGAGTTCAGGCCTTGCCAATCCATGGCCTGGTTGGTAAAAAGGAACTGCATTCCAGAGTGGACAGTTACCAGAGAAAACACTGGAACCTCCCTCTTCTAGCCCCCCACCAGTTAAATTTGCAATTTTTTTTGCATTTTATTTTTTGTATTTGTTTTTTATTTTCCTTTTTGAAATGCAGTTTTGCTCTGTCACTCAGGCTGGAGTGCAGTGGCACAATCCTAGCTCACTGCAGCCTCTAACTCCTGGGCTCAGGTACGTGTTACCAGGCCCCACTAAACCTTTTTTTTTGAGACAGAGTCTCGCTCTGTTGCCCAGGCTGGGGTGCAGTTGTGTAATCCCGGCTCACTGCAGCCTCCACCTCCCAGGTTCAAGTGATTCTCGTGCCTCAACCTCCTGAGTAGCTGGGATTACAGGCATGCACCACCACACCCGGCTAATTTTTGTATTTTTAGTAGAGATGGGTTTTCACCATGTTGGCCAGGCTGGTCTTGAACTCCTGGCCTCAGGGAGTCCACCTGCCTTGGCCTCTCAAAATGCTGAGATTACAGGTGTGAGCAACCAGCCTCAGCCAGGCCCAGTTAATTTTTGGATTCTTTTTTTTTTTTGAGATGGAGTCTCGCTCTGTTGTCCAGGCTGGAGTGCAGTGGCACGATCTCGGCCCACTGCAACCTCTATCTCCCGGGTTCAAGCGATTTTCTGCCTTCGCCTCCCAAGTAGCTGGGATTACAGGCGCCCGCCACCACGCCCAGCTAATTTTTTTGTATTTTTAGTAGAGATGGGGTTTCACTATCTTGGCCAGGCTGGTCTTGAACTCTTGACCTCGTGATCCACCTGCATCGGCCTCCTAAAGTGCTGGGATTTCAGCCATGAGCCACTGCTCCTGACCTTTTTTTTTGAGACAGTCTTTCTCTGTTTCACAGGCTAGAGGGCAGTGTCAAGGTCTCAGCTCAATGAAACCTCCATCTTCCAGGTTCAAGTAATTCTTCTGCCTCAGCTTCCTGAGTAGTTGGGATTACAGGCACACGAACACTCGCCTGCACACCCAGCTAATTTTTTGTATTTTTAGTAGAGACAGGGTTTCACCATGTTGTCCAGGCTGGTCTTGAGCTCCTGACCTCAAGAGATCCACCTGCATCGGCCTCCCAAGTGCTGGGATTACCAGCATGAGCCACTGCATCGGGCCTGATTTCATTAAGTATTCACAGTGGGGTAGGGGTTATGGTTCCCTTTTTTTTTTTTT